TATTTGGGAGCGGATATGCATACATTAACGTTATGCATGTGTGGCCAAATGGAGAGGAGAGGGAAATGAACCGACAACGCCACCTGTGGAATTGCACCCCAGGGAGTACACTCAAACCTGTAGACTACTCTTAACAACAGAAGGTCACACAGATTCGTACACTGGTAAATATGGGGACAGGAGACGGACTTCCAAATATAACACAGAGGTCCAAAGCCGCATGAATGCACAGCCGCATTACAGTGTGCTTTAATCAGTCTGTGGAAAACCGGCAGAACAGCAGTGGAAAACGGAGCAGCCGCACCGGGGCTGGAGGCCGTGGATAGCCGTCCTTCAGGATGCCCAGCTGACGGCCCACGTCACTGGGCTACGGAGTGCAGCCCCACACAGTGCGCAGAGGAGGAGGAGAAGCCACAAGCTGTGGCCTCAGCTACAGCAGGATAGAGAGCAGGACAACCTGTTAACATGAAGTTAACAAAACTAGCAGAAGTAGAAATAAAAAAACACAGCGCGTTTACCGGAGCGAAGGGAGCTTAACACACAGCGCACAGCTCAAACCCAGTCACCGTCTCGCAGTGAGGAAGAGCAGACACCACGCTTTTCAAAGTCCCCTCCGAAGCTGCACACAACAGGAACGGCCAACGCCGCTGTAAAGCGAAGAGTCACGGCAGCTGTGACACCATAATACGCTTTAACAGTACACAAACACTGCAGCACCCATGCCTACCTTATGAGTCCCAAGTTTGGGTACAGAAACCAGAGCACAACACACACAAAGCACGCCAACCGGAGCACGCCACACACAGCCCTCGCCAGGTAAACGCCAGGTAGAAGTGAGCGTGCCCGTGAGGGGAAGACCAAATAACGCAGGTACCACCGCTGCGCAATTAGGCTCCGACAACTGGAAATTAGGCCCAGCTGATGCCAATTAAGGGCGGAAGTGTAGCAGCGCTCACCCTGCCACACATGGAATGTTGGAAGAGAAAAGCACCGTAGTAAAGTAACGTTAATGGGATAACCTAGCTAGATGTAAAATTAACACTAGCTGGCTAGTGCAGTTAATAACACAATCTCGGTAAAATAATGTTAGGTGAGGAAAGGGATTCATTATAGGAATGATTTTGATAACCAACTTGCTCAGCTAATGACCCATCAATTGTGTGTGTCATCATCTTACCCAAACATTGGAGTCTCTGCTCCCAAATAACACATCTATGTTACATCTATGCCAGTGAATCCACCATGGTGATGAATGATTCAGTTGAATTCAACTCCCAAGACGATCCTCACCAAGCTGTCAATTCGATTGAGACTGGCCAATAGGAACGTGGCCTCGCCCATGACATTATTTTCACAGTGAGAGCAAAATCCTGACACCAGAGCAAAGACTTTTTTTTTGAGAGAGAGAAGAAAAATGTTTTGAGAGAAACAATTTTTTTTTTTTTGAGAGAAAATGTTTTCACAGCAAAAAAATAATATTTGAGAGTAAAAAAAGTTTTTTGAGAGAGTTTTTTTCTTGGAAATCATTTTTTAAATCTCAAATTATTGTTTTTTTTATATTCTATGACAAAATATTTTCTCTCAAAACTTTTTTAGTCTCAAATATTATTATTTTTTGCTATCAGTGTGAAAACTTGTTCTCTCAAATATTTTTTTTTTCTCTCAAACATTTTTTTTCCCTCTCATATCATTTATTTTCTCGCATGTAATAAAGACACAAATATAGCTCCATATACTACCCCCCTTCTCAGAAATTCAGGGGTATGGCTAAAATCCAGACCAGTGCATTAAAACTCTTGTGTTTCAGTAGTGACATGAAAACAAGGGGCACTATTTTTTAGCATAGTTTCTTAATTTAAAAATGAATCCCAAAATACATCTAAATCGTTCAATTTCTGTTTAAACTTAATCACAAAGATGTTTTAAATTAGACTTTTGAAAAAAATATGAAAAATGTTGTTATTAGTGTTATTTACATGAATTGAATTTTAGAGGTCAGGGTTGGGGACAGCTACTTCCCAATAGAAAGTACCCTATAAATGAATAAATAAAATGAATTTTTTATAAGGCTTAAAGTTGCGCATAATTGAGGGCGTGGTCATTTTGAGTGACAGGTGGCGCCATGGGGGGGCGGGGGGATAATACGAAATATGCATTAAATAGCCTATATAACTTACTCAATGATTGAGAAGGAGTCCCTTAAGGAAAAAGGTTGGGAACCACTGCATAAATAACATAACGAAAGATTTCCTGGGATCATCAGGATGATCTGATATATTCGGCATATGCAAGTAACTATCAAGCCGCACCGAATTTCATTAAAGTTGAAAATTAGTACTGCACCACAGTGCTCCTCCACGGTCTATTTTTCATGTAATGTGACCAGTAGGCCTAAAGTTGATGTTATGGCACATGTTTTAAGAAATGCAAAATACAATCACGTTAAATGTGACTGCATCTCGACCATAAGAGGAAAAAACAAACAAACAAAAAAGTAGCCTTGTCAGTTCCCCACAGCAGAGAGCAATGTTGATATCGCTGTAGGCTACGTCACATGAATGGACGAACACAAACAAAGCCCTCAATGTTTAAACAGCCAATCAAAAGACACTGTTGCACGTCTGTCAAATCAAAAATAGAAGCCAAACAACATGGTTTCACTACCAGCCAATCGTAAGAGGCGGAGATGTGACGTAGTGCTGTCAGCTGTTCCTGTTTTGTTTCTGTTTTCCCCCTCTTTTCCTCCAGTGTCTGGATCACCGACTTCAGTAAATAACTGCAGTAGAACTGAAATTCATCTCATTTACAGCGGAGAAATACTCCAGCTCTGCCCGGGGCTCTTACCTACACACCAGCCGGTCACCATTTCTTCCACATTGGAGCCGTCTTCCGCCGACATCGAGCGAAGAGGTGCAGCCGATCCCGGGCCTCCAATCCAGGGCGGAGGGAGGGAAGGAGGGCGCTGGGAATCGGGATGGAGAGCGGAGAGGGTGTCGGCGGGCCTGGTGGGCCGGACGGACCGGGGCTCCAGTTTGGCTGCGCCTCTTTCAACCAAGACTCCACGTAAGCAAGCCGCCAGATAACAAGCTACTGGGTCAAGTACAGACCGCTCCTGCTTCATTTCTCCCTGGAATTTAACAGATGGATAAAGCTGTTGTCACTTATGACAGAACGGGGTATTCAGACTAGGTTTTAAAGTGGCACTACACAACTTTACAAATGAAAATCAGTTTGATTATCATGAGAAGTGCCATTCAACCGGCAAAAATGCCATCAGTATCATGTTTTCTGTGGCTCTGGAGAGGCTTTCCAAAGTTTGAGAACATAACCCTTATTACGTCATCATAGTGATGTCACCAGGGTTATCTTGGCTTGAGCTTGGAGACTATAAACAACAGCCTGAAAACCTGGGTGGGTGGGTGATTACATGTACTGGGGGAGGGGTTAAAAATCTGCATTAAAGGAAATGACAGATTCACCATTTTTTGAGCTTGAGTAAACCAGATACTCAAAGTCAGGATGTCATGGCCTCAGCGGCTGCACAGATTGTGACCAATCCTGCTTTACAAACTGGGTGTCGATGTTGTCTCGAAGATGTCAGCTGTTTTTCTGCCACTTACTACTGTAGGTAATAATAATAATAATAATGATAATAATAATAATAACAATAATAACTTTATTTGTACAGCATCTTTCATACATAAAATGCAGCTCAAAGTGCTTCACATTTGAAACTTCAAAACAAATAGGTACAACAATATTATAGTAGAAACAGCAATCAAATGCTGCACTCAAATCTAAAAGAATAAGGATTGACACTCAGTTTAAGTCAGTGGCATATCTAAGATCGTTTACTATTTTGACTAAGGCTGTTTCTGTACTATGATTTGATCTGAAACCTGATTGGAATTTCTCTAGGATACTGTTATCATTAAGGAAGGTGTTGAGCTGATTAAAAACTACTTTCTCAAGAAAGTTAGGTTAGATATGGGTCTGTAACTAAGGACAGTCATATCCAGATTTTATTTTTTGAGTAAAGGTTTCACTACAGCAGTCTTAAAGGCACTATGTGTAACAGTTTCAGTTGTTCTTTGAGACAAACAAGTTTTGCAGTCAAAAGTGTGTCCTAGCACATGTGTATTTACCTCCATCAGCGTATCTAAGTAGGTCCGTAAGCTCCGAAATTCTCATTTACATATACATTGCGACCAGTGTCTCATGATGTACGTGCGCCATCTTGAAAATACAGGTACGTACAGGGACAGGTACGTACTTGAGAAAAATGGAAACGCCTTTTTCACTTGTCGGTTTCCGGTTTCCGCCTGCAGGTAGAGTGACTAAATGCAGCAGCAAGAAGGCTAGTCACAAGTGCCGGTGCATTTGAAAAAAGGCAACGTGGCCGGCGATTTCAAAAAACGAGGGTCAACATTGGGGTAGCCTTTCCCAGGTGGAGAGAGCTGCTGAAGGAGGATCACAGCTAACAGCGGCTAACAGTTAGATGGGAGAAATTCCTACACAGTGCCCGTTTAAAGGCAGTAGGAAATATACCTGCTTCCAATGAGGTGTTGGTTATCTTAAGAGTGGAGAGAGCCAAACTGTCATATATGTTTTTAAGGAATTTTGTAGGTACTGGATCCAGAGCACATGTTGAGCAGCTTGTTTGAGTTACAATTCTTTGCAACTCAGATTACGAAATACTGCTAAAACATTTCAGTTTCAGGGGACTGATTTTTGGTGTATCACAGGAGTTACCAGCATTTAATGTATTAGCAATACCTGTCCTTATAGAGGTGACCCTGTCTTTGAAAAAGCTTGCAAATTCTTCACATTTCAAAGCAGATGCCTGACTAAGTGCATCAAAGGGTGTTGGATTTAGTACTCTGTAATTAGTAAGTAAGTAATCAGATAGTAAGTAATTATCTGATCATAATTTGTGATGATGAGTGACATAAGTCCAGAGAACTGATCGAGAAATCCTGCCCGTAGTTAAGGGGGACGGTACAATGTTAGTAAAAGTACAGCTGGTTCATCCTTTAGAGTGAGGGCAATGTACTCAAATGAGGTGAAATCACCAAAATACACTCTAGAACAGCTATATTTATTTGAGAAGATGGTGGCAATTCCGCCTCCTCATTTGCCTTGCCTAACCGAATGGAAGAAGTTGTAGTTGGGGTGCAGGTCTCAAGAAGAGATAAAAAGTCTAGTTTACAATCATTGATTGTAAAGGTCTTAGAAGTGAGAGTTCCTACATTCAGCAGAGCCATGTTAATTAAAGATAAATCTGGTTGTAGTGGTACATTTTGAGGTACAGTTAAAATATTAGTTGGATTCCTGAAATTTATAGCTTTGGAGCTGCCATGGGAACGGAAAGAGCTTGTTGTGACAATGGTCTGAATGGGGAGACCAACAGCAGATGGGGTTAGTGACGGCTGGGGCCTGTAGGGGGAGTTGTCGCGGGAAGAGGTAGACTGAGAAGGCACTGCAGAAGAAGAGGGAGGTACCTGAGCGTGTGTGAGATGTGTAAATAGTCAATCACGTGGGTAGGATTGCACAGCATGTTGCAAATTGGCCGTTAACATGCGGCTGCCCAGCTTGTTGGGATGGACACCGTCGGCCTTAAAAAGGATTTGCGCTCCCAGAAAAGATTAAAATTATGAATGAAGCCTACATTGTTTGACCTGCATGCAGACAGGAGCCATGTATGCAGGGAGAGGACTCTGGTGAACCTTTCTGACCCACAGCTGTGAGGAGAACGCGGCCCACTGATAAAAACAGATTTTCCACAGTCTTTTAGGAGCTGCAGAAGTTTGTTAAAATGAATTTTGGTTACCTCAGACTGTCGAAATGCCGTGTCATTATAACCAAGGTCAACAATTACACTGTGGATGGAGGACAGCAGTGTGTGCAGCAGACCTGGGAGCTTCGCCAAGATGTCAGGGACCGTGGCTCTGGGGAAGCAACGCCTTACTGCATTGAAAAAACTAATGTTTCTGGTTATGGAGTCACTGATAATCAGTGTAGTCAGAGGAAATAGGGGGCGAGGAGATGTTGGGTGTGGGCTCTCAGGACTGGATGATGGACGAGTGGACGGTGTAAACAGCGGTATAGAGCGGCGTCTATTGGAGTGGGAGGATTGCTCAGGTATGACTGGAGGAGGGGTCGGAGTTGATGAAGATCCACGGGGCCCCTGGAAAGGCAGGGGGGATGGAGAAGAAGGCTGGGGCTCCTCAACCAGTGGAGGGAAATTGTGCTCGTCGAGAGGGGCAAACTTATTCTCCAGCACAGTGATAGGTTGGCGATGGAGGGTAGCAGCCGCTAGCAAGGAGGGTACGGGCACTTGCAGGCAGGGGCTCCAACCCGGAGCCCACAGCGTTGAAATGGCTTAAGAAACACAGAGAGGACCGGGTGTCAGGCAGCGGGACTTAACCGGCATGCTGCGGAGATCAGGCTTCAGTTGGTGGAGATGTTTAGACAGCGTCTTGACACCCAATAAAGTCCTCGGTCTGGATTAGCTCCACAGCTAAAAACAAGCCGGTGCAGAAGGCGGAAGGGAACTTTCCCACACTGACAAGCAGGTTGTCACTTGCAATGATTTTGATAAAAGCATAAAATCCAGGGCAGGCGACTGAAGTCCTCAACAGGTTGAATTATATAGTTAAAACAGCCACTATAAAAAAAGTGCAGTGAAAAAAAAATGCGGATAAAAACTTGATAAAAAGTTAATACGGATAGAGGAACGGATAGAGAAACTAGCGAGCTCCTGGCAAGCATACACAGAAGCCAATGCATGCACTGACACAGACAGCACTACCAGCACTACCAGCCAGGTAGGCTGGCCCTCTTACACATTGACTACTGTGATGATAACACTAAAATTAATTGTTATGTAATAGCCAGATATCAGGGCTGGGAATCACCAGAGCCTTTACACAGCCTGTACAAGGCAGGAATATTGCCTCTTCGTTGCTGTGTATAAAGGGTACAATTGCGGAATGAGAGGACAGAGTTGTTTTGCCTCTGAGCTGGCAACAAAGGTAGTTACGGTGCTGAAACACTCTCTGTAGAAATCGGACAGGACGTGATCATGGTTGGCAACGTTATGACATTTTGATAAAGTGTTATGCGTTCAACCCAGTGCAGGAGACTTAAAAAGTAGGTGGTAGCAGTTAGTGGCCATCTTAAAGAAGAAGAGCCGTGGCTGTTAATGTCTGCAAATTGGGAAAACAGTAAGGTCCAGGAGCTCCTCAACCTCCAAGCAGAGGATGAGATCATCAGTGATAACAGAGATGGTCATTGATTGTTATTGACATATTATGCCATTGTTAATGTTTATAAAGTGCTGCCGACGTGTATGTTATATGTTACACCAGAAGACGAAGCTGTTGGGTTACATGTCACACCTCTTTTGCTTCTGCAATGCCAGTATACTGTCTGAAATCACACACTGGAGCAGCATGATGCCGCAGTTGTTTGGTTCTATGTAAAAATACAAAGGCAGTATGATTTGTAGCACCCCTGTGATGCTATCTCTGTGTTAAAAGGACTATATATTCAGATTTTTTTTTTTCAACTGATTTATATAGTAGTGAATTGTTACTTGGTGCCTGTGTATCGATACAATATTGCCACACAAAGTATTGCGATACTATACTGTATTGATTTTTTTCTCCGAACTCTACTATAGATACCTCTGTCCCACCTTGTACTTACCTGTCCAGGGCAGGCTGTTAAATTAGTAGTGATAAATTTGGCACAGTGGCTGCTGTCCGTGGTGCTGATGCCAGGCTGTTTGCAGGATCAGAGGTGCTTGGCGAGCCTCTCCATGGTGACATAATACTTGTCTGCTTTGCAATTTTCTGGAGTGGTTGTGTGTCTGGTGTGCACGAGTGTGTGCTTGTGTTTTGGATAAAGCGAGGGCCCAAGAAAAACTATTTGCTCTGGGGCCAGTCCCAGTTATGCTAATCTGCTGGGCCTTGGAGTTAACAAGGTGAACTGTTTTTTCATTCATCCAAACTAGGGTCATGCTATGTCAAGATATATCGGCCTCTGCTGGAAAAAATCTG